TTTAACAATGGTCTGACATGTGCCTTCTTGAAACATAATGGAACCTTTGACTCAACCAATGATTTATTCATGATTGCGGTAATCAAAGGAAGCAGTGCTTCAAGACATTGCTTTAATAGGTCTGTAGGCAGTGGATCAAGCTCACAGGACTTCGATTGCGAGGTCATGTTAATGTTGCGCAACTCGTCCTGGGTTGTCGGTGAGAGCTTTGGCAATGGTTCCCCATCAAATGTAATGTTAGCAGTCATGACAGAGATGTCAATGTCAGCAGAGGTGTTCACTTCGGTAATATTTTTCCTGATTGAGCTAATTTTATTCAGAAAGTAATCACTGAACTTGCTTGCTAAGTCTTTTTCAGCATTACAGCTTGGTAGGATAATTTCACCTTTCTGTCCCATTAGGTTTTTGGTGAGTCTAAACAGTTGTCTTTTATCCTTGCCACATCCTTCGATTTTTTCCGAATTATTTTTTCCGAATAATTACCCACACATACAGACCCGTACACGTTCGCTGTTCCACTTTCAGCGTACCGTTTGCGTAGCCTTTCCGTACCGTTTACGTAGCACTTGCGTATCACTTGCGTAGCATTTCCGTAGTACTTCCGTACCATTACCGTAGCATTTCTGTAGCACTTGCGTAGCGTTTCCGTAGCACTTCCGTATCGTTTCCGTAGCACTTGCGTCTACATCTTTCCATTTCAAAAGCGTTTGTGAAACGTTCGGTCGAAAATTTTACGGAATATATATTTGTCGAAACGAATTGTAAAAAAAACCCATTATAAACCGCATTTCGTGAAAATTATTCCATTTCATAATAGTCTGAAGGAAAAAAAACCACAAAAATGACGGTTTACACATACATGGACGTAACAGCCCTCCTCCCATGGGCCTACTGTGTGTTCCCCACACCAGCAGCTAGCCCTTAGGGGTAATTTAAATAACAGACATACAGCTGGCCATGTGGTAATGACCTGCCCCTTGTTTAAGGTATAACCAATTTTAGTGTCCGTTATAAAGGTTGTTAGGGCAACATGACCACCCGCTGACAGATATTCAATATTTTTTTCAATTCAACTTTATTCTCTTTCACAATACAATGTATAGAGAAACATATTTACAATATATAATATATAGTAATTGTAGTGTTCGTAGTCGGTAGTACACAGTACTGTTT